TCCTTAGCAGCAGTAGCCCTACAGAACCAGTGCACTTTAGATCTCTTGACAGCAGAAATAGGAGGTACCTGTGTCTTTCTTGGGGAAGAATGCTGCTACTTTGTAAATGAATCAGGAATTGTCAAAGATCACATTAAATCCCTCTGGGACAGGAATGACCAAAGACGAAGTAACCAGCTAGAAGGGGGGGGTATGCCATCTTTGGCTCACTTACTCCCTGGCTCCTCCCACTATTAGGCCCAATTTATTCTTTTAATTTTGCTCTTTGGCCGCTATCTCATGTGCTGTTTTAGTAGTTTTTTGCAGAACAGAATGCAGGCATTCGCCAACCAGAAGGTGGGAGAAATCTATCTGGCCTTGAATTCAGAACCTAGAGACACCTATGTCACTGGAATCTTTGAGACCCCAGGTAGATGCCTCTGATGACGTCCCCTCTCAGCAGGAAGTAGTTATGGAAGATGGACCCTCACCCCCTGTCCTTGCCCGGACTCTCAATTTTTTTTACTATTACCAAAAGCCTGGAATGATAGATCCTCCCTTCCCCCAACTGGTGGGCGGAGTATGACATAACCTGCAGCCCGGAAATACCTGAGTGACTAACCATGTACCTTATATGGACTATACATTGGACCACCAATCCACACCTGCCAAATACCCTAAGCCCTTGTCCTATATGACAATGCAGTAAGCCACCAATCAGTGTGCGCCGAGTACACTAAGCCCCCACCCCTTCCCATTCCGCCTTTCAAAAGGCGTGCCCACCCCTGCACATGCTGCTGTCCTCCCCTTGCGAGGCAGCCCGGCAGGTCCTTCTCCTCTAATAAAGCCTGTAAGTCCTGCTTTTTGGCCTCTGTCTGATCTTTCACCCTCCTCTCACCTCCTTGTTTACTTGGGAAATTGGTATTTTTCATAAGAACAATATTTCTGATAACATGTCAGGTTATTAATATGATAAATGAATTAATAATTTTTCAAACTGTTTGATTCCTTATATGGTAAATATTGATAGCTATAATCCACAGAAACAAAATTACTTTTTGGTTCCTCACTAATTTATAACGTAGTATAGAAATTCTGATGCCAAAATGAGAGTGATGAACAGCACAGTGCCTGGGCCAGGCCTCGGGGACAGTGTGACGGGCGCCCCGCGAAGGAGGAGGGTCAGGACCGAGTCCCAGGGCCCAGGCCTGCGCTCAGGGCTCCGCAGGGGACAGAGTCCCAGGCTGGAACCACAGTGTGGGGGACTCCCCATCTTCCCGGGATTTCCATTCTCCTTTCCCAACCTATGTCAGGGCCCCACTTCTCACTTCCATTGGGTGCCCGGTTTCTAGAGCAGCCAATCAGCATCAGGGCGGGTCACTGTTACAATCTCTCCTGGACTCGCCCCGACTCAGATGGTCCCACGATGCCCAGGATGCGGGTCCTGACGCCCCCCACCCTCCTCCTGCTGCTCTCGGGGGCGCTGGCCCTGACCCCCAGCTGGGCCGGTGAGTGCGGGGTCGGAGGGGGCGGCGCCCAGTCCCACACTCCCTCAGGTATTTCAGTACCGTCCTGTCTGGACCGGGCATCGGAAAGTCCCGGTACGTCGCTCTTGGCTAAGTGGACGACATAGAGTTCGTGCGGTTCGACAACGACGCGGCGAATCCGAGGCTGGAGCCGCGGGTCCCGTGGATGCAGCAGCCCTGGGTGTACTCAAATTATTGGGGCTGGGAGACAGGGATCGTCAAGTACTGAGCACAGACTCACAGGCAGAGAACCTAAACAACCTGCGCGACTACTACAACCAGAGCGGGGATGGTGAGCTGCGCGGCCAGGGTCGCTCTGAGTGGTCCGGGTCCGAGCGTCACCCCGAGGCGGCGGGACCTGCCCGGCCCCCACCCGGGAGGAGACCACCGGGACTTTGACCGATTTCACCTTCGGATTAGATTTAGTCTCCCCCGGGCAGGCGGAGGCTGGGCAGACCTCCCAGCTGGGCTATCTGGGCGGGGTTGGCCTCGGGGCAGGGCTGAGTGGACCTGGCTGACTTTGGGATCAGGTCAGGGTCTCACACCGATCAGGAAATGACAGGATGCGACGTGGGGTCAGACGGGCGCCTCCTCCGCGGGTACAGTCAATACGACTACCTCGCCCTGAACCAAGACCTGACCTCCTGGACCGCGGCCCACATGGCGGCTCATATGACCTGGCGCAAGTTTGTCTTTGCCCCTAATCCGGATCGATGGAAGGACAACCTGGAGATCCGATGCGTGCAAGGCCTTCACGTTTACCTGGAAAATGGGAAGGAGATGCTTCGACGAGCAGGTACCAGGGTGAGGCCTCCGGAGCAGGGCATCTGTAGGTTGAGGCTGGCTTCCCACGAAGAGGATGGAAATGGGATCCCTGTCGGAATGGGCTCTCCTGGTCGGACAGGAGTCCTGCAGCTTATTCAGTGACGCGCCCTCCAGCCCACCTTTCACTAACAGTCAACCCAGGGATCCAGCCCCTCCCAGAAATGACCATTATGCTCCCCGGGATCTTGGACTGCAAACGGTTTGGGTGCCTGACTCCAGGTCTTCCCAGTCATTCAGCCTCCAACTAAGTGATGACATTAGTCTGTGTCCCCCCTAGAGACCTGGAGACTCCCACCCTAGGGTCCTGCCCTGGTTTTGGGTGTTTACAAGAATTGGGAGGTTATCTCCCCGCTACTATCCAGGCTAGTGTGTGGGCTGTGTGCTCCTCCAGCCACCCCAGGTGTGCCGTCCATTCTCAGGATGGTCACATGGGCGCTGCTGGAGTGTCCCATGGCGGATGCAAAGTTCCTGCATTTTCTCCCCTCCCTCCAGACCCTCCAAAGGCACACGTGACACACCACCCCGTCTCTGCCCATGAGGTCACCCTGAGGTGCTGGGCGCTGGGCTTCTACCCTGCGGACATCAGCCTGACCTGGCAGCGTGACGGGGAGGACCAGACCCAGGACATGGAGCTGGTGGAGACCAGGCCTGCGGGGGACGGGACCTTCCAGAAGTGGGCGGCCGTGGGGGTGCCCCCTGGAGAGGAGCAGAGATACACGTGCCATGTGCAGCACGAGGGGCTGCCCTTTCCGCAGTTGGAAAAGGAGGGAGCTATGCTCAGGCTGCCAGTGAGTATGGAGGGGTGACCCCTGAGACCCTGGAACAGTACAGACGGGAGTCCATGGGGGACCTCACCCCCATAGTTCCTCCTTAGTCTCCTGCCCTGGGGCTCTGACCCCGTCCTTGTGTGTCCCCCCCAGGCAGTGACAGCCCCCAGGGCTCTGATGTGTCTCTCTCGGCTTCTAAAGGTGAGACCCTGCCGTGGGGAGGGGTGGGCAGAGGGGAGGACTGGGTGGTGGGGAGTCTGTGGGACACTGTGAGCATGAAGTAAAGTTTTGAGAATGTCACCAGTTATACTGACTGACCTGAGTCTGTTCATGATGATTGTCCTCCACAGCGTGAGGCAGCTGCCTTGTGGCGACTGAGTGCTGGAAGATGTGTTCACGCTTCCACCTCCTGACTCAAGAACCTCTGATGGGGGCTGGCCCTGCCCTCTCCCCACACTTTCTGGTCCAGCAGAGGTGGGCTGGGCCCTCACTATCGCTGTCTTTACTTCTTTGTATTCTGAGCTGCAAGCTGTTCCTTCCGCATTGAAATTAGGTTGCGGATGTGACTTTGTTCATTTCTTGCCATGAAGGGTTTGTGGGTAAATTAAAGGAGAAGATTCTAAATTTTGAGGGGAAATAAATATAAATACCAAGAACTTTCCAGAGCTCATGTGTTTGTTGTGCTGAGCTGTCCCAGGTGTAGACAGGAGATGTTTTGAAGACCAAGTGTGGTCAGGGCCTGTGCCCAGGTGGTGCTCAGTGCATCGTGGGCTTTGACGTGGTCACTCCTCGACGGGGTCACCTCTCTGCTCCTCTGACCTTGTCCCTTCAGTAGAACCTTGTCCCATCAGGACCTGTGGTCACTGGAACTCAGACATCACTGAGGCCTTGAAATGTGTCCTAATGCAGCACATCACCAGGACCATGAACAGCGAGGGCTTCCTGGGGTTGGTCTGCCTGGGGTCAGGCCTGGATGGGACTCCAGCACCCACCTTATGGGTGTTTGTTGTTTCTTTGCTTTTGTAGATATTATGCCTGTTACTGTTTTCATGTGTGAGTTATGGTGTACTTATCTGGTTGTCCCCGTCTGAAAGCAACAGGGTACATGTTACCCATCGTTTTCCCGCAGGCCCAGGGGTCCCTGCACACAGGACTCTGTGGTTGGAGAGATGCATTTTCAGGCTCCTCCTGCTCTTGCCTCCTTCTAGGGCCTGAATGTTCCAACCCTCTGGTCAGCTTGGTCTTTCTGGGGACCTGCCCCCACCCTGACACTCTGCAGGAACCTCAGCCAAGAGCCATCTCATCAGCAACCCAAAGACACTTGTCACTCAGGAGATGCCCAGGATTTTAGGAGCTCAGTGCCAGGATCCAGTGTCAAAGACCAGACATTTTCTCTTACCCTACAGGTCTCTGCCCACAGACCCATTAATAGTAAGAGTGCCCCAATAGTTGAGGATACTGGCACCTTACCAGAGTCCCACTCACTGATGAACAAGAGTCCAGTCCACCTCCTATGGAGGATGTTTACATGGTCCATACATTTATGAAAATTTCTCAACAAATTTAGTCAGAGGAGAAATTCAAGTTCAGCCACAATGTGATATTGCTGCCCACCTCCCAGGATAGTAAAAATGAAATAGACAAAATCAATTGTTAGCAGGAATTTGGACTCACTGTATCTCCCATAAATACCTAGTGGGAGAGTAAGTTCTTTCAAATACTTTGAAAATGGCTTGGCAGCTCTCACTACCCAAGCACTCGCTCACCCAATGCCCCAGCATTTCCACTCTTGGTTATATCCCCAATAGACACTCACACAAATGTGTGCAAAAACATATGAAGAACTTATTCATAGCTGCACAATTTGCAAAATCTGCATATAAGACAAATTCTCATGAGCACTAGAGGAGGAGTGTGGTGTGGTCATAGACTTGAACCCTTTTAGCCCTGAGAGTGAATACACTACAACCACAAGAGCCACGGGAAGGAGAATGGGACATAATGTGGAGACAGAGCCAGGTACAGGGAGGAGGCCATTGTAGCATTCCCTTCTCCCAAAAGCTGACGGAACTCACCTGTGGTGTGGCAATCTAGTTAGGGGTGAATCGGGATGGGGGCAGTGTGTGACCAAATAGAATTGAAATGGGTCCACTGAGGACTGGAATGTTCTGTGAGTGTTGTTGTTCCCACCTTCACCCGGTGAAAATCCACTATATCCATGGGATTTGTCCACGTCCCTCTGGGCATGTGACCCTTCATCTTTTCATCTATTTTTAAAATTATATCTTTGTAATTTCACCCAATTTTCTATTTGATCTGGTTCTTTCTCAATTTTAGATTCTGAGGGTATCTCTGTCTGTCCTAATTATTACTTTCCCTGAATCCTGTCTGTATGTCAAGAATAATTCTTTCCAGGGTAAAACCTCAAAACAGAAGCAGAAGCAGAAGTGGAGGAAGAAGAGGAAGAGGAAGAGGAAGAGGAAGAAGAAGAAGAAGAAGAAGAAGAAGAAGAAGAAGAAGAAGAAGAAGAAGAAGAAGAAGAAGAAGAAGAAGAAGAAGAAGAAGAAGAAGAAGAAGAAGAAGAAGAAGAAGAAGAAGAAGAAGAAGAAGAAGAAGAAGAAGAAGAAGAAGAAGAAGAAGAAGAAGAAGAAGAAGAAGAAGAAGAAGAAGAAGAAGAAGAAGAAGAAGAAGAAGAAGAAGAAGAAGAAGAAGAAGAAGAAGAAGAAGAAGAAGAAGAAGAAGAAGAAGAAGAAGAAGAAGAAGAAGAAGAAGAAGAAGAAGAAGAAGAAGAAGAAGAAGAAGAAGAAGAAGAAGAAGAAGAAGAAGAAGAAGAAGGGGAATGGTGTGTGACTGTGCAATGAATGGAGGGGGAGGAACATGATGCAGCCTTGGCTTTCAGTTCAGCCCAGACAACAGCTTTGACTTGGAACTTAGACCCGTCCACAGGGAACAGACACCTTTTCCTGCCTGTCGTTCAGCTGCTCAAGTGGACCAGGAGGACAGCCCTCAGGAAGGAAGGTCTAGATGTACCAGATGGAGGAGATTATTCCCCAGGCTTGGAGCCAGCTTCCTACAAACCCGGTGGGGGCGCAGGAATCCAAGGGGCTGGCTTCCCACAAAATGGGATCCGTGTCAGAATGCCCTGTGCTGGTTAGGACAGGGAGGAGTCCTGCAGCTCACTCAGTGACTCACCCTCAGGCCCACTCAGGAGTGTGAGGAACTCCCCTTCTCCCCGGGGTTTCCCTTCTCTATTGGACAAATTAATGACCAAATTACCAATAATCACAGCAGTGGCTGGGAGATATTTGAGTGGGGATCAAGTCACTCCTCTTTGGAGATGTCCTCGACTCTCCACACAGAGAGTGTCCCCTACGCCTCAGGTGACATGATAATGGCATCTCTGTGGGAAGATCTGGTACAGGAACCCTGTCCCTACAACTGTAGGTTCAGGGTCCCCGGCTCGTCCTCAATGACACATCCCTGCCCAGAGCTCGAGAGTGAAGACCAGCCAGGTGAGATCTTCCTTATGTCCGACCTCAGGGCAGAAATCAGGAGAGGAGGGTGGTTCCAGGAGGGGAAATGGAACTGGGGTGGGTCATCCCATGGGGCAGGACAGGAGCTGCCCCCTACCCCCGTGTCTGAACTGCTTCTGCTGGCTCTGCTGGACTGGGGGGGGGGGGGATGCAGGAGCTGCCCCCTACCCCCGTGTCTGAGCTGCTTCTGCTGGCTCTGCTGGACTGGGGGGGGGGCATGTGGCTGGGGGAGGTTGTCCCAGGGCGAGATTCCCGCCAATGCTGGGCTTCCTGCACCTCTCTGTGTCCTTGAGTACCCGACAGTGAGGGACCCGAGCACGGGGCTCCCTGTGGAATCTGAGCCAAGGGTAGGATGTCCAGGGCCACTGAGCTGCTCAGCCATGTGCACAAGGGTCTGCTTATCTTCTCAGACCTCACGAGCTTGAGGCTTGGGTGTGAAAACCATAGTAAAATTGATGTGTAGAATTAGGGTGATTACTTTAAAATTCTGACATAAAATAAGGTCCATTCACACACACACATGCACAGACAGATATTCACCCAGAATCTTCATCTGTGGTATAAAAACATGATATAAAGAACACATTAAAATATATGTTTCAGTGATTTTTAAAGAGAGCGGAAGGAGAGGGAGAGAGAGATAGAAACATTGATAAGACACACCTGCTGCCTCCGTAACGCACCCCACTGGAGACTGAGCTGCAACCCAGGCATGTGCCCGACTGGGAATGGAACTGGCCGTCCCTTGGTGCATGGGTGGATGCCCAACCACTGAGCCACACTGGCCTGGTGATATCAGGACCATGTGTGTTTCCTCCTGAAATCCTGACTTGGGCTGCAATTGTCTGCAGATCCCTGGGAGATTTGGGGGAACATTTCTCTCTGTGTTCTTTATTCTGTGGGTGTGGGAATTACTTTTTGCGTGTGAGGCAGAAAAGGGAGAGAGAGAAATTGCTGGAGAGATCACCTCTCTTAGTCAAATAGTTTGCCTGGCGCAACATGCCAGATCTGTTCTTCCCATTGGACATTGTAATGTTTTATCCTCTCATTCCAGGTCGCCACAGATGATCCCACAAGAAAACCAGTCACATCTCCCATCACCGTGGCCTCTGCTCCTCCTATGAGCTCTGTGTGAAGACTCACATGTCCCAGCCGTGTGAGCACAGTGAGCGTGAAGGGCACATGGTGCTCACAGCACCCTGATCTCTGCTCTGTATTAACGTCCACTTTCCTCTCCTCCAGGAGGAAGCAGAGGTGCAGAGTGGGAAGCAACATCCCCAGGTGGCACTGAGCTCACTCCTGAGTGACCTTGACACTAGGTCGGAGCTGTGTGGTCCAGAGGCCGGAGCTCCCACTCTCTGCCCTGGGCTCCTCCCCATGGTCCTATCACCATCCTGTGTCACAGATGAGAGAACTGGATCCTGAGAACTCAATGCGGTGAGTGCCAGTGTCCTGAGCCCATGAGGGGGGAGGTGAGAGGAAGAACAGACCTGGAGGTGCAGGAGCTGAGGGTTATGGGGACTCACTGTCTCCTTCCCGTGCCGCCTGCACTGCAGTTTCATAAGCTGCACCCACTGCTCCTGAAGGGAACGGACATTTGGTGACTCTGGAATTTTTAAAAACTGGAGTCTCCCTGCTTGTACTTCGTAATGGCTTCAGGGGTCTATAAGGGCATGAAGACCCTGCCTTTGAGTGACGTTACTCACTGAGCCCGCCCATGTCCATCTTAGGGCTGCATCTGAGGGACCCTTGCTATTCACTCATAGAAGCTTCCACAGCTTTGCTGGGCCGCCTCCATGTTCTGGGTGAAGTGGAGCTCAGAGCACCAGCCTGATGCTCCTTCAGGGAGACAGTGGGCAGAGGGCGCCCCCGGCAGGAGGAGTGGCAGGGCCCAGTCTCAGACCCAGGCCTGGAGCTCAGGTCTCAGCCCCAAGGAGGAGCCTGGAGCAGAGCAGCTCAGTGTTGGGG